CTACATGCCTACAGTAGAGTAGCGGCCCGAGATCAGTCACCGGTGCTTCCACCTTAGACATAAATGCAATGGCAAGGCTTGGAGCCAGTCGTTGTCCCATTGCCAACCCTCTTATTTGAGCGTAGTACTTTCCAGACCATCTGAAGATTGAGCAGCTCAAGCATTCCTTTAAGAGTGCCATCAGGTGCTCTATCCTGAAGCCATACATGTTTATTTCTCCTTCGTGTTGTGTAAGGAGTTCGAATATGGCTTGCATTGCGGAGTCATTCGACACGTTTGTATAAAGGGCGGTAACGTCGAAGGACTCCATCACGCACGCGCTGTTGGGCTGCGCAGTACGTAGACGATCCAGAAACATCTGGGTATTCGTAAGATGGGCTGGAATGTGTTTCAACAACTGGTTAAATATTAGGGTTAAAAACCATGTTATCCTGTCCGTTGGCCCGTCTACACAGCTAATGATAGGTCTAACCTTAAATAATGATGGATCGGTAGACGCAAGATCATCGCTGGATACTAACTAACTTATGAGTTTTTATAAGTAAGTACAAGACGAGGCATGTTGGTAAGGCAACTTTAAGTTGAGAGATAACTGATGGTTTCAAACCAGCAGCCCTTCCCAAAAGAAATGACCGAAATTTTCCCAAAAGCAGACTAGTGATCTAAGTAAGTCCCAGTTTTGCTATTTTTTCAACTTAGTTTTTGAGTTTGACGACTTTTTCCCTTTCTACAAAAATACCATCTTGCGCGAAGGAGGCGATGGTCTGGTTCCGTGAAAAACTTTGAGACAACAGCGACATCGGTTAAGCAAAATCTATTTATTATGATGTGGTCTATTTCGTTATGGTACTCCACTGCAAAACTCCACGTCCAGAGTTGAGAGTGGAGCTTCTGGAATTGCGAGTCACCACGAATTGACTTAGCCGTCGTGATAAACTCAGACTGCCGCTCACCCTATTCATTCCACTCTAATCCGTTAGTCCCAGTGTGGAGTTCTTTAGACGTTATTCTGTGTCCAATTTTAGCTTTAAAATCTCTGACTACGACCTTGGAAAGCGTACAAAGTTCTCCATAGAACTTCTGCAAGTCCATATAGAACGTTTTAAGTTCGTCTTCATCACAGCTTGATGCAGGTGCTTAGACAATTCTCGTATTATGTCTATTTGTCTTTTTTTCTGAAGCGCAAATCGCACAGAACTGCCATGGCATTGGTTTACTCATTGCTGGGTAATGGATGGAAATATCAAATCGCTTCTCAGCTTGGAAGACACTAACCCACTGCTCTGCATCGCAATTCATAATCCAAGAATCCCTCGGGTGAAGCGAGCGATGAACAACTAGGAAGTGACTTAGTGAGCTCGGCGTTGATGAATCCCTTATATATTTCTTACGTATTCCACCTCACTGAGCACCGGTGATTGAATCCGTATTTGTCTAGCCGGTACCTTTCGAAGTCAATGTTTCCAAAACCAATTTCCCTTTAACCTCATCATGAATAATAAGCACGCATTTTCTTATTTATAAGCTAACATGAGGTCGAAAGCGACCTTTCGCCAACCCTGTGTTGAGTTATTAATGAAAGAATACACCTTGAAATTAACGTTTTTATCCCACCAGACAAGTAAGCCAGGAGCGAGAGATACAACCAATTGCCATCCTGTGCATTTTAGAGTATCTCTGCTTATAGCGCATCATGTATTCTCATTTTATGAACATCTTTTTATGATGTTTTTATGAACACGACTCAATCGTCAACCACATGCGACTATAATCAGCTGTTCTAAACTTCCTCATTGGAAGTCACGAAAAAGCGGCTCTGAAGAAGGCGATACTGCCGAAACGTCAGCTAGCGTTGTATTGTATTGTGTTTTTATGGAAGTAAATGTATGCTGTTTATAAACCTCGCGATTGCTGAACAAGAAAACGACACATTCTCTAATTATTTCTATCGAGCATTAGAGCTACCCAATGTGTTCCGCTCGCTCGTTGGGTATGAGCACCTTTCCATATGAGATCCTTCATTTATACTACTTTTGGCAACTACTGCAAAGGAGCACTCATGAGTAGCTCACCAAGCTCTGGATAGGCTGGGTGCAATCCCGATTATTTCAGCGTTTCTAGGATTAGAAATGGAGCCTGATTATTAGAAACAACACCTTACCACTTCCCTTTATTTCCGTAAGCAATTAGGAGAATAAAGATAGAATTCATGAACCTGAACCATGTAAGCAGAAATGTGATAATTAAGTGATTGATCATTTGCAAGAAAAATGTTAATTTTCGACCGATACATTAATTGGGAAATAGGTTATAAAATCTGCCTTTGCCTTCTGAATCATCTAACGTCTTCTATAAACCACATAAACCACTAGGTGAAAGCATGCGGGGCACTCCAGTAAGCAACAAAATTAAGATAAGCAAATAAGAAAAATGAACTGCATGCTAATAAACGGCCGCATGGTGCACCATGTTTGTGTCGTGTACTTGGTGTTGGTTCACTAGTTACGCATAAGCTCATACTACGAAGCAATCACAACACCAAACCTTCCACTCTAAAGAAACGACCATTAAAGCATGCTGATGACTGACATCATTTGAGCTCATCCTTCGGCAGCGGATGCACCTCAATTTTTCATTTGAAACATCTGAAAAACTGTTTTAACACTTACGTATTCACGGAAAAGTACGAGCGCTCAAAAAATATGCTTTAGAAAGCGCAAGCTGGTTATCCTGACAGATATACAAACAACTTAGTAAGCGTGTCATAAATTAGTTAGTAAGTCAAGAATACGTGCTGAAGAAACCCAACGAGAAGAAAGATAAGCAACTCCCACCTCCAACTGACTTTCACGCAAACCTGCAAATGGAGGATGCTTAAGTATGAATTCCATGTGTCCAAATGTTTGAACCAACGGTATTATTTCTATGTCGTTCATTTGAGCAATCTGAAGTAAACGTAATTTGGATAGAAAACTAATATCTAGAGTGCAGTAGCAGTTTCAACGAACATTATCAATTGTAACTCCTATAATTTCACGATAGAGCTCAAGTTACGTCCCAACAACTAGAGCTATTTCTTGAAATTTCTCAATGTCCACATTTGTCGAAATAGAAAAGAAACTAGAAACGTGAATTCAACCTTATTGATTTCCTCAATTTCGCTTACATCATAGTGATGCAATCTCACCACCTAAACAAGTAGAATTTGAAATAAATACGTTAGGAAAACGTCACTGAATAATTACCGAGTTCAAAGGCCCAGAGTAAGGAAACATATCCTCGTATTCAATAAGCACACCGTGTACGCCCAGCTTTTTTAGAAGTGGAAATAGCCACGTGTACACGGATGGAATCGGAGGAGCTCCTTTGAGATCGAGATGAACAATCGTCTGCGAAAAAAAAATGCAAAATGTGTGATAAATTTAAGATCAAAAGAATATTTTCAGCCTCGATATTTGGTAATCGAATTTCACAAAGTCGTGAAAACTCAAGGTTTCTTTAGTCACAATTCTTTTGCATTGTGATAGCGCATATACTTCTTAAAAATGCTCAACAGATTCCCTGTAAGTTATCAAGAAAGTGGGCACCTGGCGCAGTGGTCAGAGGCGCCCTGCAACACACACGTGGAATCGATCCCTGTGCCCATGGCCCAACGAACCTTCCATTTCTCCGGGGTTGACAAATTGGTACCAGACTTGTCTAGGAGCATACCGTCACTGGTTGGATACACCGATAGGCCACGCGAGTCATTGTAAAAGCCAGATATGCATTTAATCATGTCCAAACGATGCTTGTTGAAGTCGAATGCATGGTGCATTCCTCAAAGATACATCAACGCCAAGAGCTTTATCCTTTTAACCTTTAATTTTGAGCTTTGAATTTTTAGTTGTCGGGTTAATTCTAGGTTAATTTAAGGGAATAAGTTGGGTCCAGACATGTGCGGCTCAAATTCCCTGAGTCTGGAGAAATGAAGGGCCTGATGCATCCGAGGCGGTGTGGAACCAATATCGTGCTCGTGACTAATGGCATCACTACTACTGCTCTACTCACACCCTCATTACAAAATTCAATATTGCTGTACTCTTGACAGGAGTTTTGGAGTTTCGAATCACTGAAACCCTTCCTATTTGTCTTTTACAGTAACCATTTCTGAATGAGAATTCGGAAAATGTGCGACGTTCTCTCTTAAGTTTAAAGTTTTAATGTTTAACGTTTTGTTTTCTGCCTTCTATAATTTTCATGGCAGGTTACTAAGCGAAATACAACCACAACGTTGCTGAGATATTTGGAAAACTCTAGACCGCAGGTGTCTATGGTGGGGAACGAACGCGCTATTATCCATTCCGGGGAGTAACGCGTTCACCACCACACCATGCGGGTCCTTTAAGTTTTAATGCATCATGAAGCTTCAGTTCAATTTTCCAGATTAAGAGAAACTGTGTCGATGATACGTGCTTTTGCATTTCTGATATTTCTAAACTTAAAATCTTTTCGAGTGAAGGTGGCCTTTTCTAAAAACTAGAGGGCGAGACGAGGTCTCTTCTATACATGTACAAGATTCTTAAGTCCCCTAATACTGTAGCACTTCAGTTATCGATAAATTGTAGTCTATTATCAAGAAACTGTAAGATTATCAATGTACTAAGTAGTGTTATGTTCGAAATGGGAACTGATTTGTTATTTGTGCTCATGATGCGAGTGGATCATGTAGGCTCATGTGGCGCATTGGTTGGAGACTCTACTGCGACACACAGGTGGAGTCGATCCACTAGCACATGCCCCACCAAGACTTCCATCTCTCCGTGATCGGCCAATTGGTCCCAGATTTGTCTGGGAGGATAGCAGCACTGGCTCGATACATCGGTAGGACACCGCGAGTCATCGTAAAGGGCAATTTTGCATTCAATCATTTCCAACGATACTTAATGAGGTTGAATGCATGGCGCATACCTCAGGGATTGATCAATCCCGAGAGCTTTATCTTTTTTCATCATGAAAACAGCATCAAATGGTAATCCCCTTCCTCTTAGAATCTGTTCGCTCAGACTTTTCAACATTCAGGTACACGAAAAGTGTTGGCCAGTGTTATGCAACATCCTCTTTTAAAGCTTTTTGCGCGCTCATCTCAAAGGATTTGTTGGAAGAGTTTCTTTGAGTGATTGCTTAAGGCACTGGTAGATTGAAAACTTGTTGAGAGGCAGGCAAAAACGAAGGGCCTGCATGATGTGGTGGTGAACGAATTAGCCCGCGGAAAGGGTCATAAAGCGTTTGTTCCCCACCACAAGCTTCTGCAGTAAAAGGGTTGGAAATATTTCAGCGTCATTAAAACTTCTCTTCGCATAGTACTAAAATACTCAATACATTCCAAAGACCTCTAGCCTTCACAAGGCATTGAACGCAGTTAGGAAATAAGCAGATAGTTCGCAACTATACGGAATGCATATGTTTAAAATACCTGAACGAACGGACGCCGATCGAACGGCCCTCCACCACGTCTTCGTTTGAAAACACCATAAGTGTTGTCATCAACTCGCAATGAAAAGATAACGAATACCAACAGACCGACCACGGCGAATATCCAAAGCCCGTTTCGAACTCCAAGACATCTCGGAAAGAACATTCACCTTCCTGTACTCGCTGCTATCTTATCAAAATGTACTAGATAATATTGAGCGTACATTAATTTCCTGTTGCATATCCAAAAGAAAAAACATGAAAAGACAGGCGACGGAAAATGATCGCTTCTTACATTTGATAAAAGACAGAGGTACTAAAACATTTCATTACGAAGAATTATTATAATGAATTAGACTGATTGAAATCACAGTGTAATGGGCCCAAGCCACAAGAAAACAGATCTGAGTCGCAAAAAACTAAAGTGGTAAAGTGGTAATATGCAACAAAGCCATACAGTCACAATCGCAGGAAAACTTCGAAATTCATGGTGTCCACTTTAAAAAATGCGCTATATCCTGTGAGGAAATCAGTTGCAGTGATTGCGACAAATCTAACTACACACGTAAACATGACTATTTCTCCACATATTTGGTTTTGATTCAGCCGTACTCACTTATCCATATGTCAAAACACACATGGAATTGAAAAAAATTGCAAAAATGCGTAGATGTGAGGTAACAGACAGAAAGTCTTCAGAGTGTATGAATATTGAACTCCAAGGCTTTCACCTGCTCTGTGGTTACGAAAGATAAAAGATTTTTAGAAGATTTAACTTTCCGGAAGAAAATTTCCGGAAGGAATTAAGGCCTGATTCAAGACAAGTTTACAAATCATCTTTCGTTTGCACTGCTTAATAGTATTCTATTGAACTGAGGGTTAGAAAAGCAAATAACATGATAAGTACACTGTAGTAACATACCTGCTATCATTAACAAGGAAGACGCAACACATTCTTAGCAAAGCAAAAAAAAAAAGCTACTAAAATAAACTTCAATAGGCTAACTGATCTGAAGCACTGGACCTAAGCTAAACATATTGTTACCTAGGGCTAGAATGAGCAATTAGATACCTTCACTTAAGGAGGCAAGAAAATTGTACATGGAAATATGAAACTAGGGCTAGACGCGAGCACCTGCAGCAGTGTATCATACGAGACTCAAGTATTCAGAAAAATGAAAAGAAAGCGAGAGTTTCTTGCTATACAAGTGGATTCCAAGATTCAGTGTTCTCTTCGGCGAAAAGATATTTGGTTCAATCAATGTTCCTCAATCGAAAAGTTTGCCAAGCTTATGCTTTAGGCCTTTCTTCGACTCCACTGTTTCAGAGCCGGTTTGGTTCGCAGAGAGAACACGTATTTGCTTACCACCTGTGCGCAGAAATGATAACAGTTGAATTCCTGGCACTATGTCCACACCTTCTGTCCAAGTGTCGCTGACTCGAGGCTAAATAATAGAACACCGTTTTACTGGGAAAAGTCACAACTGAACTGCCGTTGAATAAAGAAGATGAAAAATGTTTTCGACACCAAATCTTTCACGTTATGGAGGAAAAATTAGAATAAGAAAACGAAAGTAGGCTAACCCCAATACTCTTACAGCTGTACACCGACACAGATGGGTATGGTAGAAAGCCAGCAGAGCAAGGCACAACGCTAAACGCGATTTGACCAAGACCGGACTCCTTCACTTGCAGGACTAAAATTAGGTTCACCAAACCTTGAAGTAACAGAGACATTATTCACAAATTTTCAACTGCTTAGATGAGATCGGTCTGTAAAAAACTGTTTTTGTTCTGAACCGAAACCATGGATCTTAGGGATCAACTAGAGACATTTAAGACACCAAACAGAAACATTAACATGTAAGACGAAAATCAATTCATGATTTAAAAACGCGAAAAAAATAAAACTCATTTTTTACGTTGACTCTTAATTTACTACCCACTACAACTTTTCATGGCAGGGTATTCCGTGAAATACAGCCACAATGATGCTGAGATATTTGCAAAACTCCGGACTGCTGGTGCTTGCGGTGGGGACCGAACACGCTATAGATCAATAACATGGCTGAGAGATAGGCGAAACGAAGGACAAACATGGTGTAAAGGTTAACGTGTCGTCCCACGAAAAGGGTAATAGAGCGTTCGGTCCCCACCACAAACAACTGCGATTCGGAGTGTTGCAAATAGCATTATATTCAAATTTTTGTAGGATTATCTAATTTCCACTCTCACTGCTCGTAATGGGAAGATACTTCATTGATCGATTCTGGTATATCGCAGAGATGATTGGAGAGTTTACATCTCTCCTAGATTGAGTCATTTGATAGTCGTGAGGAGGACAAATGATACATGTGATGCTTATTATTAATTGAACTATCAACAGACGAGAGGTCTGGTTCGTTATAGGAAGATATTGTTGTACTTGAGCTACTTTTAATGCTATAAAAAAATCACCTTTAGCTCTTTCTGACAGTGTCCACAGTTTCTCGTCAGCATCTAGAACAATATACAGCAATTCGACGTACGGTATCATAGATCTGGAACATGGACTTTAGTCTAAAACGAAACAAAAAATACCTCAGTGCGTCAAAACAATTTTTAAAGAACCATGCACTATAAGGGTAAAATTATAACCTCCAAGAAGGAACGATAACAAAATTATGGGCAGTCTCCGATGGCTTTGATAATGAATGAAGACCGAAATTCTAAACAAGAAGTCGAACTAACGAATATAGCAATTACCTTAATGAAATGACGAGATCGCATGCAGCCCCAGCACGGCAAAGCTGTGCACCCGGCTGGTGAGACAGCATCTGTGCGCACAGCTCATACGCTACCTGCAAAGTTCATAGTCATTCATTCATCACCATGGTGGACATATTATTCATTTTCTGATGCAGAACTAATAATCTTCTAGTTTTCAAGATTATTCAAGATTTAGTTATGTGGTGTGACCAAGCTTTCAAAAAATAGTTCTTCGTCATTCTCTAAATAAGGCCAATGCTTTCGGCGAAATTTCTGACCGACACACCTGTACTGGGAAGATAAAAAAACAAAGGCAGATTTCCCATACTGCTATGGTTGAAAAGAAATAAAAGCGAAACTTGGTATAAAGGATAAAAAGAATAAATCACTCCGGGTTGATCAATCTCTGATAGATGCGCCATGCATTCGATCACTAGGCATCGTTTCGAGGTGATTGAATGATTATCTGGCCTTTACAATGACTCGCGGTGTCCTATTGATGTGCAGAGCCAATGCTGTTATCCTTCTAACCAAGTGTGGTACCGATTTTCCTACACCGGAGAAATGGAGATCTAGGTGGGCCACAGGCGCAGGGATTGATTCCACGTGTGTGTTGCAAGGCGACTCCGAACACTGCGTCACAAGCGCCACAAACTTAGTTTAACCTTTCGAAAATATGGCCAATCCATGTTTTAATATAAGGGTGACCAACATTAATTATATTAAGCAGAAGACCAAGAAAAGAAGAAAACAAAACAAAACATGAACAACCCAGAGAACTAAAAAAGCACTAGGAGGATTATGAAGAGTACCCAATGAGAATCAAATCATACCTACCTTTGGAACATGAAGATCAAATGTTTCGCGATAAGAATACAGCCTGTCAGTAACTTTTCTGTACTCATCGGAACCAGATTCCTTAAGAATCAAATCTGATGGAATATCTCAGTCCAATGTCAATAAATGCGTAAAAAAGTAAACATTGAAAATGATCACTAATGCCGCTTAATCAGAGGCTTCATTGTGCTATTATCACACAAAACATTTCGCAAAGTAGCCGGATGACAGAGAAGGAAATGGGAACTGAAAAAGAAAGGAACAAAGAAAACAGTCCAAAACGATAACAAACTGGCACCTACTTTTGTTGGTTTAACGCGATAATCTATTGACAATTTGTGTGAGATCGGCAATTCACCGCATAAGGGCAAAACCCACACTAAACTTGAGACCACATTTGGTATTAACTCCTAAAATATACAAGCAATTTTAGAAAAAAAAACACGTAGAATTCCAGACAAGACGAAAAATAGTACTTCAACTTCGCCATTAATCAGTTTGCCAACTTTACTAGGAGTCCCTTCCGGTGCTGATGGATCCAGTGCTTCAATCACAGCATTTTCGATCACTACTGTCCACTCCTCCGCATGACCGACAGCTCTAGCGACTTCTAATTCAAACAGTGTTCTAAAAGGTATTTCAATATTACAGGCTGCACATGAAACCCGTTTATGATAGGGGAAATATAGATCTTTTACTTGTCCTTAGAAAACACAACTTTGATTTGACATAAAAACGTTTTACGAGCAGTACGAAACGAGAACTTACTTATTTTCCAGCATAGACGTGCTTGATGTCATTATTAGAAGGGCGACAAAAGGTAACTCAAGCGACCATATTTTGCCGAACCAGTCAAAACAAACCTAAACCTGCTAAAGCAGAGAATCCAGAATTAAAACCTAAGTGTTGCAATCCATGCAATCAAAAACGAACAATATTGGTAAGAAGAAACGGTTAACTACACCACCGATTAACTACTAAAAAGGTTTTGTTGTTGTGTGATAAACTTACAGTAAAACTGTCACTATACAAAACAGAAAAACGATTAGGATGACAGCACTGCTTTCAAAACATTATTTTCACCAGGTAAGAGGAAAGCGGAATCTTCAATTAGTTAAGAGATATCTAGAGTAAAAATCATTAGTAGTGTCTAGCGTTGATCAACTCCTTAGGGATGCGCCAAGTATTCGATTTCAATAAGTATTATAGAGGCGAATGAATGCATATCCAGTCCAAACAATGGCTTGCGGTGACCTAACTGTATCAAATTACTGTTACTATCCTTCCAGATATGGGGAACGTGTAGCGCAGTAGTTGAAGGCGCCACTGCGGCACACACACAGAATCGATCCACGCGCCTATGACCAACCAAGCCTTCCATCCTCCGGGGTCGGCAAATTGGTACCAGACTTATCTGGGAGGATAGCATCACTGACTTCATACATTGGTAGGCCACCGCGAGTTGTTGTAAAAGGCTAGATATGCATTCAGACTCCACCAACGATGCTTAATGAAGTCGAATGCATGGCGCATCTTTTAGGGATTGATCAACGCCGAAAACTCTATCCTTTGGGAAAGCTTAGTAAGCCAATGGCACAGGATTGAACGATTCCATCACTCCATTACACCATATCAACAGTAGGTTACATGAAGACTCCAATTCCTTCGCTTTGCCGTGAACTTTTGACAGAAAGTAGAAGAGGTTAGCATCTTCATAAGAGCTCTAGGCTGGTGGAGCCACGGCTTCGAAGGACTAAGAGCAGCTCGCGCGGTTGGTCCTGTTAGCTCATTTGAAGTTCAAATCCACTCCTCGGCATCACTCTACATTTCATGGATCAAACAACCCCAATGCGAAGGTGGTGTATGGGTAGACACTTGTATTCTCCTGGAGTCTATTGTACTGTTCTTTTCGCCCATTTGTCATTATTATTTTAACTACGTGATAAGCCTATCCATTTTTCGCTATCGATCTATGTTCCCCTGTAAATCGATGATGTCATGAGTTCCCAAGATTCCAGTCATACGTTTTGTGTGTCAGTTGATTTTCAACAGACATTGCTCAAGTGCTTTGTGTGGTGCGCAGCTTTCCACCCGGTTAAACTATCATCTCAATTCACTGCGACATAATAATTCATTTGGCTAATCGTTGAATCAACGCTATGAGTAAGCATTCTAAGTACGACACCTGGTCGGTGGCTTGTCCGAACTCGGCACACGCTGCTCTTCTTTTTGTGTAATTTGCCCTTCATTTTGTTGTGCATGTATTATATATTGGACTCGCAAGGCTTGATGTACTTGTATGAGGTGGTTTTTGCAGTTAGAACACCATCCAATTTGATTTGTTCACTTTTTAATCATGAGCTCTTCGTGAATTCTTTTCTTCCGAGTTATGCGCAGTCCTCTCCTTTTACTCGCTTCATAGGACCCACTGAGATTCCTTTTTGCCTCACAAGTACTTCTCGAAAAGATGACGATATCCTCAGGAACCAAAAATTTGACGAGAATTATTAATAGGAATAGTCATCAATTAGTCGTTTCCAGCAATTACACCATCTTCGCTTTACTGGTGAGGTCATTCCTACAAAACTAAGCATTAGCCGAGCGGAGCGAATGCTCGCCGACTTTGATAAAGCCTGTGGAAAGATTGGCCTTCGAATAAATCTCATAAAAACGATGTTCATAAGGAAAGGATATCTCTGAATGCTCCAGTTAGGCTATCTAGATCGAGAAATCAACATGATGAACGAGTAAGCTCCAGAGCAGGAGGAAGCGAGCGACTTGGATAGTCTTAAAGAGCACTGAGGTTGTAATGAAGAAAACAAAGAACACCTGACTCGGCGTCCTTTTCGACTCTACGATTCTTCCTGGTCTAACATGTGCATCAGAAACCTGGCCGATGCGTAAGCAGGATGAAAACTATCCAGCGTTAATGAAGGCGCAGTCGAAAGGACGATACCAGGAGTAGCCCGTGTCACACAAGTAAGGGAAGGGTCCGAAGCTCCGACCTGCGTTAACGATGAAAAATCAAAGGTGCCGTTCTATACGCCGAACTGTTGAAGATGAGGTGTGCCGGATTCGGAGTGCCTATGAATGACAAATGATGGACAACAGCCGTTAATGACTGGATTTCTCTGGGTGTCAATGACGCAGTGGGGAGAGCACTGGCCCAATAGCCGCAGTTTTTCGCTGGAACCCTGGAAGAAAGATATGATGCTCAACGACTCTCTAGAGTGAGTAGAGACTACTGGGATACTCCTGCACATGGCAGGGAAAAATGGAAGATCAAGTGGCATACGCTCGAGTCACTCGACGATAAACAGAGCAACAAGTGATACTTGTAATGTGATAGATAATCTTTTTTGAAATAATCTGCATCACCGAGTTTGCTCCATTTTTAGGCCTTTTATTTACATAATCCACGTCATGTGTGACTGATGATAAGAGAATTAGCAGTGTCCATTGAACTTGTCTTACTAAGCGCAATCGAAGACGAATGAACATCTAAAGTCAGATGTTTACCTTTGCTTTTCGAACAGCTGGTGAAGCAGTGAGACCCGCATCCATCAACAGACATAATACTAGTTCGAAAGTATGTCTTGCCCCTGACCCAAGCAACGGGATATCTACGCTTAATTTTGGAGACCACACCTCATCTGGACCCTGTAAATACAAAAGTGGGATGTGTAAATCTGACATAACCAGTAACATTCTTATGAACTACCTGTCGAGAAGTAATTAAGCATTGAGTAAAACTAATGAAACCAAAAGTAGCAACGAATAACACAGGCCCGGCGGTTGGGTAAAGCACTTTCCATATTACTGATATCGAAGACAGTGAAAAATAAAAATTCCGTAAACAACAAGGCACCATGAACTCAACGATCCCGCAAGGTTCCGCGTATACTTCAAGTTTTGAAGGAAATACAGAGGTAGCAGACTCGATGGTAACGCGAACTTGTTGTGCCACGCCTGCTAGAAGATCTGAAAAGATAAGTGAACATCTAGTTATAATGCAAACTTGTTCTCTTGATGAGTAGACACGATGTTGTTACTGCAATATGTTCACGATAGTTAACGTTTCACCGAATTTCGCCTCCCTCAGAGCTTGGAAAAGTCAAGTTGCTATGCAGTCTAGTACTTCCATAACCTCAACGGAAAGACTCCAAGCCTCGATTTCAGTTCCGGTTGAAATAGTTTCTTCAGGCACTTACTGTTTCTTTTGAACCTTCCATTTACTGATGGACACAACCGCACAGTTTACATGGGTAAATAATGTGCGGCTCTTAGGTCAGAATATCAACCTGAGATATTGCGTGAAGTGACGCGTGATAGCAAGGCATTCTCCGCTCTGTTTTGATTCCTGGAATTGATCCAAGATGTCTACAGAGCTTCGTGCATTGAAGCTTCAGATTCCTGTGTGAAGGTCACCTCCACCTTAAAATTTTCTTTGTTATGTTTCTGGGCCGTTTGCTTGTCTCGTGGAGCACTTAGTCTAAATAAACCGTCTAAGTGTTCTTTTATACGCAGGCAGACTACTCCAATAAAAATATGTTGGCGAAACTGTTAGACTGCCTTCGCACGGAAATCTAATAAATTGTCCATCATATTGATATCTCGACTCATTAGAACATTCGGAGATATTCATTCCAATGACGGTGGATATGTCATCAGGAAGAATTTCCTTCTCATGAAAATCGTTTTCAGGAGCTTTAAATAAAGACTAATCCATTTACAACCGTTTTCGGAGTGGAAGAAAATTCGCTCCGGCCAGCTAATGATTGGTGCTGTAAGAATGACATCAGCAAAGTGAAGATGGTGTAGTTTCCGACCATCGGTTTTCACTTCCATCTTATCCCATTCCAACCATCGCACCTGCTTGCTCGCATGGCTTTCCTTCGTCCAATGTTCTTTCAATACTGATGAGGACTACTTATATGCTGAGTAGGCAAGCCCAAAACACCCACAGCTTATTTTACCTTACCGTTTCTACTTAGTAGAAGTCCTTCTTCAAGCCCATAAAGATTGGAAAGAGCGGTCTCTCATTCAAGCGAATATCTCTAATGAGTCTCATTATAGCGTGGTCTTTCGTACCGAACCATTTTCAAAACCGTGCTTGCTCACAAGACTGTCCTTTGTTCAGTGGTCTGCCAAATTTTCTTGGGATGACTCGAGTGAATGCCTATGGGCGACAGGCAAGAGGCCGATTGGGCGGTAGTTGCCGACATTGTGGCGTCATCATTCTTGAATGACACGGCCTTCCATTGAATAGAAATCTTGTATTCTAACAGGTAATGTGTGATGAGTCGAACTAATGTGTTGATGAAGAATGGTAGAAGGTTCCTCAGGTGCTCAGATCTTATCCTGCGTTGACCTGTCGTTCAATTCTTCACTGACGATATATCATGTCGAATTTCGAAAGGGAGAACTCATGGTATGACACATCCGACCTACCGTGTTTCATGTGAGAAAAAGAGGACGTGGCTATTGAAGAGGTCCGAGTAGTAATTGTGAATGATTTTCATTATTGCCTTTTCTGAAAGTCGTAACTGTTCCGTCCGGACATCAAGGTGCAATTATCTCTGTCTTTTAATTGGCCAAGTTTCGGTGGGCTTTGAGAATGTTTGTCCTAGCTTCTAGAGCTTCTGTCATTATTGCTGTTCATTTCCTCCAAAATTTTACTCTCTCCTTTCTGTACTGTCAGACAGGTGCAGTTGATCACTGCAGACGGCTCGTGCTAGCCACTGGCTCGATTGTTTCTAGATGCTCGATAGGCATCTATTGATAACCCTTTTGGTCACCTTTGAACTATCGGCATTCAATGCGCTAACGTGCAAAAGAAGCCAATCGTACTCTCCGTCGATCCTGTTGATAGCGGCACCTTCGCAAAAAGCCGACGATCTAAACAAACACAGCTTGTATGTTGCTTTTGCTTCTTGCCAACTAGAATACCGACTTCTGCAGAATGCATTGCAACCCTGAAAGCAGATCAGCAGATTATATTAGATAGCAACAGATTATTAATCGTCCTACGTAAAATGGCATTGCGAAGTGGAAATACTTCATTCGGGCGGTGCTTCACTCCATCGGATTCGACCTGACACTACTACGGAGACCCACGTCGCGAGAACGAATATCTGCGGAAAATGGACACGTATCAATCGTGGTCTGAAGGCGAGAAAAACAATGAAACGCCCGCTGTATGGAACTTTTTACCAATCTCATGTTAGCTGAATGATCCATAAAAACAACCAATTCTTGAATTCTGCAGCTTTCTCCTTTCCGCAAAAAAAAATGGATCTCATGCTAATAAAGCGATGGTCTGTTCATTTGCAAAATTTTGGAACAAGAGTGGCATCGGTTAGGCAAAACCTTCGATTTACTTTGATATGGTTAATTTCATTATGGTACTGGACGCACCATGTTGCCTCGCCACTAACCGGCACGAGGTCCCTCTATGAGGAGATTCGTGGTTTTCAATGGTTCGTCTATGAAGGAGACGAAGTCTTTGAACGCAATTTCGGCCTCGGTTTGGTTTCTGAAGCACTTCTCATAAAATAAGTTGCTATGCTTGAAGACTTCCGTAAGCGAGAGGTAAAAATATGCTGGGTGAAGGAGTTGCTCGTTAAAGCGACGTGTTGCTATTCTTTTTGTCCATCTGTTGTCTGTTCTTCTCATTATGTGACCAGCCCATCTGTTCCGCTGTCGACGTATATTCTCCTGGATCTCGAAGATGATCTCGAGCTTCACTTTATTGTCGTGCTTACCAAAAAGACGTCCAAGACCTTCTTTATCTCCTACGTCGAATTTTCCATGGTGAAATTTTCGACGCCGACATTGCACTGTACATACGTTAACACTTACTCGTATCCATATCTCACCAGTACTTCGAACCGTTTGCAGTGCGTTACGTCCGAGTGTGAATTCGTAAAAGTAGATTTGTGGAAACCGTTGTTTTAAAATTTGTAGTTCCATCTTCCAAGGCCTGTCAAAAATCCAATGTGTACAAATGCTTTAACTTCTATTTTTGGCCCATTCTTTTTTTTATGACAAGGCATGACATGGAAACCGATCGTGATTGTCGAAACAGGTAGAACACTACGTGACCTATAAAAGAATACCTAGACAGTAAGCGTAGAACTAAACAAAGCACTCCAGTAGGCGCGTAAGACATAAACACGGGCAAGATTTTGAAGTGGAAGTCACTACCATCGCACGAGAACCTAAAATTTCCGCGCGCAAAACCTCGCAGCATACTAGAGCTTCCAAGTATCCAAAAATGAACCGCAGCGAATAATCTCCCGTTATTACACGAGATTTCACACAATATCTGAGGCTGATAATTGAACGTTAGAGTAGCTCATTAGCCTTCCATCTCTGTACGGTTGTTTTTCCAAGTGGGATACTCACTGGAAGATTCATAGCGAGCGGTAAGAGTGAAGAAGCTGTTCTACATTCAATGCGATTGAAAATTAGGCATCGTGGTTTTCGTGTTGAAGTTATGAGGCTGTTTGATTGACTATGTTGCGATTAACTTGACCTTGGCTTTGAAGGAGGGGAAATCTGCCGTAAGGTCAGCTTTCTAGTGAATATGGTATGAAGTAACGACCTCTTATTTGCCTATCGAGAAAACAACGAACTACACATACTGAATTTATTCGAAACAACTTAATAGGTATATACACGCTCAGAGTGCCAAGGAAAAGTTTCCACTAAAGGCTTTGAAGCTTCATATTCCTCAAGTATTACAGTTACCGAAGAATTATCCACAGTTTCCGAACACAACTAATACGGCCAACAATGTGCTGAATTAGGTCCATATTGTTAAATTTTTGTACTAAAACATAGAATAAAGGATAGAGGATAAAACTCTCGGCGTTTATCTATCCCTGAGAGACGCGCCATGGATTCAACCTCAACAAGCAAGAATGCATATCTGGTCGTTACAGCGACTCGCGGTGCCCTACCGATGTATCGAGGCAGTTCTGCTATCCTCACAGACAAGTCTGGTACCAATCTGCCGACCCCGGAGAGATGGAGGGCTTGGTGGACCTCGGGCGCCGGGACCGACCCCAGCTGTATTGCAGGGTGCCTCCGACCACTGCGCTACACCTGCCCTTACATGCAGAATGGCATAATATAATCACATCGCATGCTTCACACAAAATGTAGGCATAAATGAATATAATGAATACGGTGCACAGAGGCCTCTATTGTATAGCGGTGAGTTAAAACATTAGGAAGCAATCCCACCTTTACTATCGTCAATCCACAACATATTTGGCATACTCTGCACAAAAATCGTAACGAAATGATTCATAGCATTGCACGTAATGTCGATGGATAATGCATCGTTGAAGAGTACTGCTTCGACACTGTGCAAAACGAAACAGCCACGAGCTGTTGTCAAACCAGTTACGGTCTTAAATAGCATTTTAAGAAGTTCCATACAGTTACTGAATTAACACACAGTATAAAGCGATGCAACTCACTATCACGTTCTGGCCTGGAGTGATCAATTGATTCGAACAAGTCAACAAGAGTTCTTTACTGTTCAATGGAGGAACAGATGACTGCGACTTATCTAGTGTCACTACGCGGCACACACAATCACGTTTCTAAAATCATGTAGATCTTCCTTTTGTTGTAATCGGCATGTGTGCTTTGTGAGCTAAAACCACTTACACTGAAAACAGCATCACACACTAGCTGTTTCGTTGGCCACTGAACACGCTGATCAAGCTCACGAAGTGTTACTCGCAAGCACAGATTATTAATTGGAATAGGAAAGAGCGAAGTCAAATCAAAGTCTATCGATGCATCGTTGGAAATTTGTACAATTGGCGTAAAACCAGTCACTCTGACACGAAACACCTTCTTAAAGACGTCGATCGACTCAGCCATGCTGAATACCAATTTTTCAAAAACAAAATGTTCTAGATATTACATTGAAAATGGGAAATATAGTTGCAACAGCTCACTTTATCAATATAGTTGGCTTCACTGTCACTAATGTATCAAAGTAATCAAATTCAAGTGCATAAGCGCTACAGGACTTACCAGTTATGCTGGCATATAAGACATAGCATCCTGGAAAGAAGCCGATATTCACGTGACCGGGAGCCACATGAAAGGGACTTACCCATGAGTGTAACAAGCCACCCAAATCAAAAGTTAACGAGCTATCTTTCGATAATCTACTATAAAAGCAATTAAAATAGAAAACCAATGTGTTGCTCTTGATTTCCGCTGGCCGAATAGACCATTCTGTGTAGGAGAAAAGAGCAGACGGAAGATATTATGCATTAATATCAATTAACCAACCAAATCTGTTTATTCCTTCTCTTCTCCAGTTGTTCAGTTAAGTATTCGGCAAATATTTTCCGATCAACAAGATTAGTAGCGTGAAGAGCTATAAATAGACGATATTCCAGCAACCTAAAAGTTGTTGCTTACCATCAGACAATCTAATTACTATTACCTAGGCACGATATAATAATATTACTTGTCGTATTCGTCTTCATCATTTAAATGAGATACAACGCGTTTCATAACGTCTACCACGACTTGAGTGTGACAACCACTACTTAGCAAAGACGAAATAAAACGCATTTCCAAACGTGAAGCTCCAGAATCTCGGCCATTCTTCCTAAAATATACTTTCACAACAACACATTCAATAAATTATCACTTTCTAATAATATATTGACACTCCTCCGACCGGTTTACCGTCCCATCGTGGCTGGGAGGTGTTCCTGGGTGTCGGGCTGCGATGTACAGTGGGGGTATTCATCCTCAGCAAGGTCTCCCAAGCTGAGGAGTCCGGCGTTTTCATCAGGAAGCGCAGCTAAGAGGAAACCAATACCAGGATCCAACACCGTCCTGGTGGCAAAGTAGTCGCAAGGTGACAAATCTTCCGATCCATTAGGGTGGTGGCTGCCTGTGGTGGTGACGACCTGGGGTAACCTTTGGCTAGGTTGGTCTCGGGACTCCAAGGAACTACAACAGCTAAACCAGCAAAACTCCGAAAAAATGGAAATATGCTTGGGCTGGCACAACTAGTGAAGACGGGCCATTCAAGTATCCAGGTAATTATATTGAAACCATCAGGAAAAAAACTCATATAAGCACATTCTTTTACGTGAGTAGAAGTTAAATCGTGAAATTCTTCATTTGTAAAATAATAAGTCACTGGAAAATAAATTTCACAGTTTACGTACCTCATCCACTCCGCCATTCTCCACCCGACATACACGGCTTGTCTGTTACGTCCCCACTGCAGCAGTGTGGCCGTAGCAGTGTCGTATGCTTTCGACAATTGAGCTGTGAAACTGCTAGAAGACTGCAGCATTTCTCGAAGAAACTCAGGACTCTCACTGGAATCATTCACCGAAAGCCAGTCAAAGAGATCTCTTGCTTCTGACGTATCGCTTTCCGACAAATTCGATAAGTCCAACATCTAAAATGTTTGCAAGAAAACAATGTCAGAAGTTAAGGCAATTATCACCATTTGTGTAACATAAAGATCACCACGACAAAATTACAACCTCACTAACAAAAACACCCATCGAAACAAAACCGCTCACCCATAAAAAGTACAGAAGTGACAAAAGTGATGTAAATTTTAATTAATTAGTTAACAGAAGCATTGTAGTACCTACAACATATAGGAAGTAACTACTAACGTCCCAACAACTTAAAGCTGTAACAGCTGCAATATCGAACATCAAATATGGTTCTTGTGTATTCGTTCAAGGTGTGATATTACCTTATTTGTCAAAGTCCACAAATGTTTTATTTTTTCATTTAAGGTTTGATTATCAAAATAGAAGACCGAGATAACAAGACCGTCATACGATGCCACATCTTATACAGACGTTTACTTTTCTAGAAGAAATTGTCAATGAGAATAGGAATCCCTAACGACATCAATTACGTGAAAACTGAAATCCTCGCAAGCAGAAAATGGTGCCTATACGACGTCTATGTGAAATCATCATCCGAATCGAAGAAAATTTTATCGCTAGGAAAAATTGGAAACGAAATTCGTCTACGGTAGAATTATACCCAACAAAATTACTGCTTACGTAAGCGCCGAATAGAAGAGAACCGGTGATTAAAAGCTGAGTGTTAAAAAAATTCAAAACTAAGGCAAAAATATCCGATACCAGCTGCCCTAACGCTAACCTCTGTCGACTAATAAAAAGTGTTTGAAATGTTGAAGTTAACGTAATCCTATCAACGCTCGTCGACCAAGGGGCAGGCCCATCCTACGTAAGAACTCTGTCTGGCTGTTATCGGAGTTGCACTACAAAAATACGCCTTTTCCATCGACCTCTTACCATATCCAAAGCAAAGGGGGTTCGACATGGCGACACAATATCGCCAAAGCTGATTAGTGCCGCACTGCAGTGGATAATGAAGTCACTCGCTTGGGATGAGAAACGCATACATACTGATGGAAAATTTCCATCAAATCTTCGTTTCGCCGAAGACATCGTCAATTTCTCAAGAAGTACCAGCGAAGCAGAGACGATAATCAGTGAACTCAACGAAGGAGGAAAAAAGATCGGACTACGCGCAAATTGGAAGAAGACCCAGTTCACGAAGAACTCATGGTGTGAAGGGGAACAAATTGAACTGGATGGTGCTGTGATTGTAAAGACCACCTCGTACTTATATCTTGGGTAATCAATGAACATGGAAAACAACATGAAGGAGGAAGTAGACAGAACAAGGAGAGCACTTAGGCCAGATTCAGGTCTCTCAAGGAAGCCAACTGAAGGACCCGAAAATCCGCGCTCACCGTTTCAATTCAAGAGTTCTCCTAGCGCTCAAAGACGAATAATGAAAAGAACTTGTATGGTGGGCTTCATGGGAATCCAGGCGCCTCCTAGGACGACCACCTACACGTTGGGCGGACGTGTTCCCAACCAAAGTTAATCAGCTGTACATGCACCTGCAGTTATTTTAGA